TAATTCATATAACAAAACGTACTTACTGCCAATACATAAAAACAGCCCTATTGCTATTCTCTCACACCCTTAGCTACCCCAACGTTTTGAGGTCCTCTTGAAATAACTGTCAATATGGCTTATTCCTATCAGAAAATACTCTTGCTATGCATAGCTATAAAACAGCAGTTTCCTTACATCATTTGCTTAGGTGTACTTTATAAGAAATAACTCCAGCAAAATGTATAACTACACTATACCTTACGAAGTATTGTAATCGCGAGAAATTTTGAAAATGAGATATTGCGTTTTTTTGATGTTATGTGACATGGACATCTCGAAAAACCACGTCACTTATTCCTGTCGGTGTGACTGGCTGATTGTCTGTCTAGCCATGAAGTCTTTATGACGTGTCTACTTGAAACACTACGGATATTTGGACAGCCAAGGTTCAAGCGCAGTCGGTTTCGAAAAAGTGCGCCCAAAAAACTCTGCAAGCGCATCTAAAACACCGTGGCGAGTGGGATATCCTTTACCATGAATATGCATTATACCAGTTATTAAACATTGTTGCTTTACGCCAAAGCTCCAAGAAAATGAGGCTACCGCGTACGCACCAGCTCAAGGAAATCATTTTTCATGAAAAGTCCAAATATTGCATTGCTGGTTGTGACAGCACCTAGGTATTTATGACGACATGGAAAATTGTACAAGTACAGAGCCGATCTACTTGGCGCCATTTTTTAAATGAATTATTCAATTATATACAATGCACCCACACTATTAATGACTTATTGTTCAATCGTGACGCCGCTGTTCACATTAAACGCATCCTGATAGTTCAAATGTCCACCGCTTCTCAACAGTGGCGCAATGGTCACCGTGAAAACAACTTCCAAACACTACGTCAGGATTAATCAAGTAAATAGCAAGATATCGCATATGTTAAGAAAAAAATATATTTTTACTTACCCGGAAGGGTTGGGTCTAGTATTTTCGAGGTACATGGGCTAGTGGCAAGGCGGTAGACGCCAGAATAATGGCGAGTGCGGCACATCCAGACAGCTGGCACCGCAGCGACATCGGGAACGGCAACACCGACGGCATCCAGACAAACAAATGGCAACCGCCAAAGGCTACAAAGGTGTTGCTCACCCCCTGTTCGATGATGCCACGTTGACAACTAACAACCTCCTTTCCAAACTTCCTTTTTTATACTGAACTAGGCGCGTAGGAAGCTTAATAACGGAGCACCGCCACTGCAATAAAAAGCTTGTTAATCGGATTTTTGAATGGTCTAATACTTGGAAAATTCCGTTTCTCTCTCAAGAAATAGTCTGAATTGCGAAACTTTCCAAATGTCATTTCATGTATGTCACATTATGTACTTACTGTATTCTCCATACAAACAATTCTAAGTTCACTTCACAATTTTGAGGACGTTGAGAATTGGGGGTTGCGAATATTGCATTTTTGGTATCAGTGTAAGACGTTTTATTATTAAAAAGAGTCCGGTCTCCGTGTTAAACGCACATATTTTCCATACATATGCCACTTGAAACAAACTGATTTATACTCGTAGTTACAAGTATGGTGTAGCTACCACTACAACAGATTATTTCTCATTTTATCATTGACTAATGTATTCTACTTGAAGATAGTAAACTATATAATATATATAACAAAAATAGGAAAATAGTGGGCAAAATCCGCAAAAAGTGGATTCGAGCAGAAAATAGGATAGGTAACCCGAGCAATACGTATTTCTGCTGGTTGGCTTCATCAGGCCCGAAATGAATGCACATATGCAACTACAAAAGTAGATACACATGCCCACACATCCGGATACGGGTGTAACCTGAGGAAACGAAGATGTAGAGGAAAAAAGACACAGGAAGTCCACAACAAGCGGATTTTGCCCACTATTTTCCTATTTTTGTTATATACCTTTCTCCGCATGATAATTTTCTCTTTGTAGATCCTTTGGGCTTGAAGTACCACAGCAAGTGGCTATAACCGGCCGCGTGGTTGTGGTTATTTGTTGCCTTGAAAATTCGAGGTCTTCTAGCCATTCTATACTACAATGTGTAGATTGGCTCTTGTTGTGCACTTCTTGTGTCAATTTTTCCCTCTCCATCTTCGTTTCCTTAGGTTACAACCGTATCCGGATGTGTGGGCATGTGTATCTACTTTTGTAGTTGCATATGTGCATTTATTTCGGGTCTGATGAAGCCAACCAGCAGAAATACGTATCGCTCGGGTTACCTATCCTATTTTCTGCTCGAATCCACTTTTTGCGGATTTTGCCCACTATTTTCCTATTTTTGTTATATACCTTTCTTCGCATGATAATTTTCTCTATATATATATATATATATATATATACTCTATTCCGTCACCTAAAAAGGAATCTGAAAGATCCCCGCGTAGAGAAGCACAAAATCGAATTAAGAAATGTCTGTTTGTGTGTGTTTGGTCCTCGATTGCGAAATTCTTCAGGGTTACAAAACTTGCGTGCATTAAGTACATCTACTTGGCATTATTCTACTATATACTAAGGCATGTTTTCAACAGAACGCTACGTTAAAATCAATTTTCAAAACAACCTTTTTGTTGATCTCGAGATTTCATTTTAGTACTTTTCAAGTATAGCCTCGTCATGGATTTTTTATGCCACCCCTATATTACTAGTCTACCCGATACTATTTTATCTGCATCTGTTCCACTTATAGATACAATTTAGTTCCCCTAAATATTTAATCTCAGTCGATACCCAAACGCGGCATTCACCCTTTGACAACATTTTACAATGTATTCGGACGAGGAAACGTGGCAACGTCGCACCCGGAGCAGACTCCGGAGTTTCCAGAGTCGTCTGACAGACCCTAGAAACGTGAACCTGCCGTGGCGCCGGCGCTCAGATCGATACACTAAACATGGACAAAGATGACGCGACTTCAGCTACTCTAGAGATGGGAAACGATGAATTCCTTGTATTCCATACAGGGTATCCCATTTTATTCTCCCACTAAGATATTCAAAAAATTACGCTTTCTGGAAAAAAGTTGTACGGTTAGAGCGGTGACCTTGACCGTGACCTGCGAGGTCATATCAAGGTCAAGCAAATAGAACTTCACCATTTTTACACTGGAATCGGAAAGAAGATGAAGTTTTGCGTCCGAATATGACCTTGATCTGGCCATCTCATGATCAAGTAAAGACATTTTAAAACAATTTTCTCTAGCAAAAATGTTCGGCAACACAGTTGTGAGGTTTGTGGGAGTCACCTGGCCATGACCTTCAAGATCGAGTCAAAAAGGAAATCCTGGAATTAAAAAAAAGAGGAAATGTTACGTGTGATGTGACCTTGACCTCACAAGTCATTTGGTAAGGCACCCCCCTTGATTGCATATTTAAACGCGTAAAATATTGGCATGACCTTGGTGGTGATGGTCAAAGTCATGCTGCTTTGGATAAAACAAATTTATTTAGCGTTTTAAAGTTTAAAATATGTCGATTCGAGCATAACAATTTTACATTTTTTTACATTTACTTGCTAAATGAAGAAGATATCATTATCTATAATGCCTGTCAGGGGAGACCCTGGGGAGTAAGTTGGACCTTAAAATTTGCATGGGGGAGATACTCTTCTGCTCTCCAGAAAGGTTTGGGGCAGGTACACTTTTCCAAAAAAAAATGTTCGTATCGATGATATCGGTCCCATTCGAGAAAAATTCTTGCGGGCACCTATTAATGGCGCTCAAATTTTTAGCTTCCGAAGCTGAAGGTATCAAAGTATCATTCGACAACATTAGCAACATTCATTGGAAAATACGCAGGGGACCTCCTAGCTTACGTCATGCAATTGTAGAGTAAACTCATCCAGTTTTATGGTGAGGCTCATCGCATCACGAAAGCGTTCGATCAGATGTGGCACGCTGCCCTCCTTAAGCAAACTTCTATCCTATGGCCTTCCAGAAAAGCCTTGCAGATGGGTGGCTGACCTTATCCGTCATAATTGACGGGTTATCCTCTTCATCACACAATGTCAACGCGGGTGCTCCCCAGGGTATTGTCTCCTACACTGTTCCCCTTACATATCAACGACCTTATTTTCTGCACGATCAACCCAATCCACAGCTTCGCTGATGACAGCCCTCTACATTCAGGAATTCATAGTGACAAGCCGCTCTCTGCCGCTGAGCGGGAAAAAAGAAGACTAGCGACTGACGAGAGACCTGGAGGTTATCACTGCTTGGGAACGCAACAATCTTGGACAGTTTAATACTTCCAAAACACAGTACTGTACCTTGACGAACAAAAAGCGTCCGGTTTCGATGTATGGCAGAGTTCTGCTAAAGAGCCATTGATTTCGGCTGGTCGGAGTCTAGATCACCGAGAACCTGATCTGGCATGATGCCGCCGCGCGATGTGCCTGCCAGACAAACCCGCCTGACTTTGGCCTCCCATCCTAACCGTGTCAAACTTTGTCCCGAGCGTGTCGAGATTGTGGCCCAATCTACAAGACAGAACCTTAGGCAGTTCAAAAATCGTATTAACAAAATGCCTGCGCGGCTGCTTCGGTATAAAAAAAGTTAAAGTATTTGACACTACGGAAGCGAATATCTCCGGACGGAGCGCCCACCTCCGGTCGGCGCTGTCAGGCATAATTGTAGACGTTTGGACTGCAGTGCTGACAAAACCATGTTCCACAAAACCACACAAAGTCGCTAGTTCAGCTGCATAAGTGCAACAAACATTTCTAAACTGCAACCACTGTGATTTACTGATAAAGTGTCTTTAGTAGAATAGTCGTCGTTCGCTACCCCAGTCCGGACTTTCTGTGAGTAGGTTATGTAGAATGTGCGTGGTGAAGGACATGGAGGTCCAGCGGCGGTTACAGAACGTCCAGAACGCTGGACACAAACTGCATCAGCTGCCCCCGGGTGTAGTGTAACACACCAAGGGCTCTGGATGCAGATGTTGCCCCTCAGGCTGCCGTCTGACCTTGCATCGCGACCATGGTTGACGAAGAGAAGGTCGAACAACAAACCTGGCAACAGAAGCTGCTATTTTATACCACAGCTTTCTTCGTGTTACTTGGCATCTTTAGCTTGTTCTCATTTTTATTCCTCGTGCCTTTTGTCATCGACCCAGCTTTCACAACGATTTTTATGGAGTTCGACGAGGAGCCCGCTTATTGCGTGACCTCAAGGGTCGAGCGTCGGATTGGCGCCTCCAATTGCAGTTGGACTTCTTGTAGGGAAGGTTGCACCAAGGACATATACGACTGCACGCACATTTACGTCAACTACAAAGCAGCCAATAGATCTAATGTATCGTTAGTGGACTCTGTTGCTTCGATGGTGCTCACCACTCAGCTACCGTTCAGAGAAAAGCGGTTTGTACCTCCTCCTCATGAGGATTACGAGGACTACTACGATTTGCCGGAAGACGATGGTTACGATTGGTCTTTCAGAGGCGCTAGACTGTTTCCCAATGTCAAAGGTTGCGGTTATCCACCAATGCTCAACTGTACGGTATTCATGAAGACATATAGGGATATAGGCACCAACTATTCATGCTACTACAGTAAAGTAGATCCCAGTCTTGTGATCAGTCATTTGGACATGTGGCAAGTGTATATGAACCTGGTGTACGCTATGGCCATTCCGATTCCATCGTTCATAGTATCCGTGATATATCTGGCCATAGCCTATTTCAAGATCTACAATGAAGATGAGGAAGAAGCACCTTTAAAGAAGAACGCCGAAGCGATAGACATGGAAGGCGAGACAGGAACCGGCGAAACCCCCGTCCCCCCAGCTAGCGGGGGTATCACCCCCGCTAGCGAAGCATTTAGAGAAGATTTAGCTAGTTTTGGACATCATTTCAAAGTCGCCATGGTAGATGAAATGAGTCGAGACAGTCTTGCTGATGGTGTCATTTCCATTTCGACGACTGGGTAATTACCGATTTATTCTCTACCTTTACTATTTAAGTCCGATAGTCTATAGCAGTGGTCGCCTTTTCAGTGTGTTGAGCTTCTATTTTGAAATAAACAGTGAGCTACCTAGCGGAAGCAATGTAAGCCAACTTAAATGAAAATGCGACATACATGTGTTTATTTTACTAATACTAATACATTCAAATAAACTTAAATAACTAATACTACATAACTACATCCATTCCTACCAATCGTAGGTGTTTGAAAATTCAACCAAATTTTTCGTCAGCTACAATGGCATGTCACATACGATTTAAAAAAGGTATTTTATACAAAAACATGTTCAGATAAAAATGCGTGTCCAATGAGACGCCTGACTCCCAGACTCACTGACAATTTTTTTAATATTTGGAGTATAATTTGATACCGCCATTTGAATACAATTATCCAAATCTTCATCTGTATGTCGATAAACTTAATATTCACAAAAAGGTTGAACTAAATAACGGTTTCACTTCCACATTTTGTATTTGAGACTAATGATTTCAAAGCTAAGTCATTTTGAAACGCAATCACTTCAATTTTTGTCGCAGTGAAGTCTTCGCTAAAATTCTGCGTCACAGAAGTTGCAAACTGTTGGATATCAATTTAAATGAAGCGTGAAGCAACAAATTGCGCCACTATAGCAATTTCGTTGAAATCCTTGAAGCGTTTTTTTAAGTTATACTTTAAATTAGAGACTCTTTCTACATGATATTTATTGTCATATGGTTCTTATGTACTTTGAGATATCTTTTCCGATAGAACAGGACAATGCCTGGTGATTAAGTATTGTTCCCAAAACTCAATCTTTTTTATAAACGCTTTTATATCAAAGATTATTTCTGCTAGTTCTTTGTCTCTCCCCTGAAGCTGATATTTCAGTTCATCTGGGGTGTGTTAACTGGAAAACTAAATTTTAGAATTACACATTATTTTGACTTATCACCTGTTCTTCTTTTATTCGGTCCCTTGGGGACCACTGCTGATATTACTGATGATGCTTTGTTTTTAATTTCGCCAACCAAACAATTCTAAATGTTTTTTCACCTCTCGTATACACCTCATAACTAATATTTTTGAATGATATGTATTTATAACATTTTGACATTCCTAGTAATGTAACTTTCATTCGTCCAGATGGCCAAGCAGGGACAGCTGTTTCGTGCTATTTGGCAACTGCTTAGCGAGGCTCATTCCTAAAAGATCCGCTAGGGGGCGCAACGCGATCTGACATCTGATTTTTTGTTTTCAATTTTGTCAACCAAATTATCTAAAAACATTTTTCTGTCTTATGTAGAGACATAATTAGTGTTTTTAAATGATATTTTATTTATGTTTGTCTTTTGATACTATCTTCATTACCTACTGTATCATTTTTACAATAAGTATCAGGTTTACACATAAAAAGGGGTTACATATTTGGCCAATGTTATAAAACACATACAAAATTAACACAAACAAAAAACTCACGTTACAGCTCTCCAGCTGGTCAACGGGACCTGAAACAAATAGAAAATAATGAATGTCACATGAAAAAGGCATCAAGTCGGTTGTGTCTGTACTTCCCACGCAATTGTCTCATCAATCAAATTATCTTCGGATTGTTTCCGAATCTAACGTCATTTGAAAGCAAATTGACCAAAGCGTGAGATATAGAGTAGACCTGCTTGGATCAGTATTTGTGAAAAAACTGCATTTAGATTTTGGAACTAAGAATCACCCTTTAGGAGGCTGAAAATAATTTCCCAGCAGTTTCACTTGGCGACCTTTGTGATAATATTTCTTAACCGACAGCTGTAGAGTAAATGATTGCCGGGATACAGTCAGTGTCCTATATCATTAATAATAACAATAATTTTTATTCCAGTGGACTACAAGAAAATCAGTATCACATATACAGACAAATAAAAATATCACATATCCAAGAATTCCCTTATATCGCGAATTGCGTATTCTTCAAAATATATTGAAGTTTCCTATACTTTGAAGTTGAATCATTAATTTTCAGATAATGATTGTAGAAGGAAGATAAACCAAAATATGTGTGTATAAATAACAAAAAAATTAAAAAAATGTTATCTTGTTTTATAAAGTATCCTCCCGACAAGTATTTCAGTGCGGACCTGTATTTGATCGTGCGGTCTTGGAGCACCGGCATGCCCTCCCCTGTGAGGTCTTAAGTCACCTGATTCACGAGCCCTTTGTACTACATTAACAAAGGCACGAGGGGTTTTAACAAAGGCACGAGGGGTTGGTTGCACTCGATTGGGAAACCGATCCGCATAAATCCGTGATGCCGCGGCAGCATTTTGTAAAGACTCGTTTGAGCCACGCAACAAACATCACTATTCACTCACGCGTTACCGACTGACACATTGACTGAATACAACTGAATAAAATTGTAGTAAAAACATCGTGATAAGCGTTTCAAATTCTTTCGCTTTTTTGTTTCCGATGCGATGAACCGATAAGGCGGATATATCCGTTGTTGCCAAACACGAGCACATAATATTATTATTGAGACAGGGCGGTACTCAAACTTCTAAAGGGCTATAACTTTGTTACTTTAATTTTACCACAAAAATTTTAAAGGAAAAAAACATTTCTTTTGATCAGATCTACTCACTGTTAAAACAAATGACTTGTATATAAAGATCCACCTAATAGCAAAAAAGTTACAGCCGATAACCGTTTTTGGCACTTGATAATGCGACGGTGGTTTCTCGCAGATATTTGAAATTCTTCAAATTCGTAGGTTTCGTACTTCTAAATAACCACAACAAAATTAGAGTAAAATGGCCAAGTAGTTTTTGAGAATTTCTAATTGTTTATCCCAAAACACCTGTTTTTCCGGCCATCACTGAGCAATATACAGGGTTAGTTCAAAGGGCAGTTTATAGCAAAATACACTAGTTTATCTTGCCGATATAAATCGCAAACCATTCCGGAAAATAAATTTTATTCTTATGCAAATCGGGCCGTTTATAGGCTCCGCTGAGGTTTTTATAGACAAAATTCTTAACTCCTGGTATATTTTTTAAAATCTTAAAGGTCGTTGTGTTGAATTCGTGCATAATGTACGGCTGATTACGTCTTGCCAAGCGAATAACTGGAGGAAGTTGGGCAGGTGAAGAATTGTGAGTAGGCAAAACTGGGGTGTCTCCGTTTCTAGTTCCTTGGCATGTTTTGAAGTACAGCAACCCTCATAAAACAGGAAAATCAATACCGGTTCTCAGATGTCTCAGAATAAACAAAGGACATCAGCATGGAGGCATCTCCCAACATGTGTGAATGTATTCGACGTGAATTGGATTCCAATGCACTATTACCATAAATAGAATTTCATATAGACACTCACATTCATGGGAAACACTTTCCGACTCGATTTTTTCAATAACCGCATTTCTGGGAACCAAAAAGACTCGGGCTGTAACCCCGTGAAAATTTGTTTAAATATTTTTTTAAGCAAATTGCAGAAACATTTTTCACAGCTTTGTTAAGTTCACTAGAGGTCCTGGTTAGCTTCTCTCTAAAATTGCCCGTTTTCGAGTTAAAAGCGATTTAAAATGTGAAAGATTATATGGTGAATTCCTTGCGTTTTGTTGTAAGGTTACCTTCTCTTCTGTCAACAGCCTTTTTGATGGAGTAGTCTGAATACTTTACTTCTTATTGTTACATGTTGTGTATAGAGATGTAGGACACGAACGAGATATGATAATAATAGAATATAACAATAAACGTGGAAACCACAAACCCATCGAAGTACCACCCTGTACCATTTCATTTCTACTACAAGGGTAGTACGTAACAATTCGATATGGGCAACACTGTCAGGCTAATATTAAAACCACTTACTTGGTGACGAAACGGCAACGAGTTATCCTCCTTTGGCAAGCGACAAGGGCGATACGATCGGATTGTCGGGGCCAATATCTATTTTTAGAAAAATGACTTGAGTACCTCCCATATTCAACCGACTCATAACATGCACGATCTTAGGATCACAATAATTATCCACAGTGGTTCCAATTCACCTAAGAGCGGGGGCACCCCCCACCCTGGGACACACAGTCCCTGGAACACACAGTCCTCCACTTTGGCAATTTTAAGCACACAGCAGCCTATGTGATCAACATAGTTTTAAGCACACAGCACCCTATGTGATACCCAGGCGTATAAACGGATATGATGAGTTTAACGATTGTTACTAAAAGCAGTCCAAGATCCAGGATATCACGTTGGCCAACGGCCGTTGTGTCAATATCCAAAGGCTACGACATTCCCTCTTAATCAGAGATAACCAAGCAAGATGACAAGCTTTAGAATAACAATCCCTACGCACATCCTGCCTTGAGATAAATTCAGATGCCAGCGATTATCCTTATCCGCAATTATTGAGTCCGTAAGCCATTGATAGAAATATGAATATATGATCCAATCATCTTTATAAATATGGATATATGCTCAAAGCATCTTTATAAATGTGGATATATGATCACAGCCTCTTTATAATTATGGATATATAATCAAAGCTTCTTTGTAAATATGAATACGCTCAAAGCATGACTATAACTAGGGCTATACGATCAAAGCTTCTATACAGGGTGCCTTTGAAGTTGAGTCATTAATTTTCAGATAATTATTGTAGAAGGGAGATAAACCAAAATATGTGTGTAAAAATAAAAAAAAAATTACCTTGTTTTATAAAGTATCCTTCCGACAAGTATTTCAGTGCGGACCTGTATTTGATCGTGCGGTCTTGGAGCACCGGCATGCCCTCCCCTGTGAGGTCTTAAGTCACCTGATTCACGAGCCCTTTGTACTACATTAACAAAGGCACGAGGGGTTGGTTGCACTCGATTGGGAAACCGATCCGCATAAATCCGTGATGCCGCGGCAGCGAAAATAAGAATCATATCCACAAGTTCAGCATTTTCGTAAACATGTGCCATTTTTTATTTCGTTTGAGCCACGCAACAAACACCACTATTCACTCACGCGTTACCGACTGACACATTGACTGAATAAAATTGTAGTAAAAACATCGTGATAAGCGTTTCAAATTCTTTCGCTTTTTTGTTTCCGATACGATGAACCGATCAGGCGGATTATATCCGTTGTTGCCAAACACGAGCACATAATATTATTATTGAGACAGGGCGGTACTCAAACTTCTAAAGGGCTATAACTTTGTAACTTCAATTTTACCACAAAAATGTTAAAGGAAAAAAACATTTCTTTTGATCAGATCTACTCACTGTTAAAATAAATGACTCAAACTTCGAAGTCATCCAATATAAAAGTATTATGGTTATCAATCCATGCAGTACAGTAGAGTAAAGTAAACACTCAGTGATTGCTCACCTATCAGGTCACCAAAACACTACACCCAATAGCACATCAACACTGTAATTAGGTCCACAATGCGCACTACTTGGTCTGAGAAGCGATGGCTTTCACGCACAATTTGAACTCTGATGTGATCCACGCCCGCATTTTAAGAAAGTTTATCCTGGGAACAAGTGCCCAGAGAAGGAAAGGAATGTATAACATAAACAGGCGTAAGGACCGTCATGCTGAGTGACACTAAGCAGACTTGTGAACCGTCTGGAAAGATTTTGTGTGCTACAGGGTTGAACTCGCATGCAAAAATGTGTTTGAGATATTCCGTAAGCTTACAGAGATGACTAAAAACAAGGTTATAAGTTCTTTTTGTGTCAAAACGTATCTTGTGGACATTTCATTATGTATCTTTTATTCAATCGTACCTTGTTAACAAAAAATCTGTTTTGAAAGTTCGTTTAGCAAGCAAAGCAAAGACTTTTCAAGCTTGTTTGGTATATCAACTCCTTTTGACGAGTCCTACAACCATTTAAAATAAATGATTCGTCTTTGAAAACGTATATGCGGTTTTGTTTGGCCAATGGATTTACGAAGAAGGAAACAACGTTGTAAGTTTTAGAAGTCACATTAACATCACGTGACAATTCCTTGTTAGCCTTTAACTGGAGAAGACTCCAGGATAGAATCAGGCTGCACATGAACAACAACGCAACAGTGGCAAAAGTACAGAGATGAATTCAAACTTTTCCAATTACCTCGAACCTTGAAATTTCGATTAAGAAGCCTATCGAGGTGCGGCAAAGGTCGGAAGTGCAATAAAATGAATTGACTTCAAAATATGTAGAGCAGAAGGAAATATAGGTGATATACATTTGTTCTTGGAATTGGATATTTTCATCGTGTGCCTGCTGAAGTGTAACGTGTACCTTTGAAGAAATACCGGAAAAGGCCTCGCAGAAAGCTTCGACTGAATTAAAAAAAGAAATTAGCGACTTGTAGTTTCCAACAAGTGGAATAAAAGTGTATATAGGCACAATAAAGATACGTAGGTGCTTACCTTCTTTTTGTCTCAGTATATATAGAATATACTTACTCAGGAAAAACCAAGTTTCTTTTTTCTCAATTTGAGGTCAGTGTCAAATGCAAAGGTTGCGTAATTTGGGAACTCCCCCCTCATCACTATTGGCGTTCGAGAATGAGATATATTTTATATACACGGTGGCGCATCGAAAACGAAACAGACGCATTCACTGGCAGCTCAGTTTTTTTTGGAAAAACGCTCAGACCCATCGATTTTGTTTTTGAGGGGGACACAAGTTTGGCAAACAATCACGTTAACACGTGCAGCCCCCTGGGCGGGGGTGGCACCAACCCTAAAATCTTAAATGGAAAGGGGGGTCGAGTGATACCTTATTTTAAAGGTCTTTCAATTCCCTTTATAATAATGTAAAATACATGAGCTTCATTTCAGTAGTTTTGAAGATTTATTGATTTAAAGCTTGAAGTAGATTTTAATAGGTACATCAGATTAGTTTGTACTACTTTCAGAAGAAATTTGACTAAAAGAATTTACTTAATGAGTAAATGCTTTTTCTTCACTACCCCCTTGGTTTATCATTTTGTTGTTGAAATGGCTATTGGAGCGTTTTTTTTTGTGGCAAAAAGTTATTTCTTGAAGAAAGATAAGGAAATATCTCGTAATTATTTTAAATAGGAATTTAGTACATAGTTTGCGATTGATTTGACCAAAATTTGTTGCTAAAATAACGTGTAACGCTTTATTACATAAATTAACCATAGAATATTCCACAGCAGAAAGAGTTGAAATTATCGAAATATTTTTCGGCAATAATCAGTGCGCTAATAGAACAGCAAAAGTATTTAATGAGCGACATGAGAACAGTAACGTGCATCGAAAATATGTTCTAGAACTTGTAGCTAAATAAGGTATCACTCGACCCCCCTTCCATTTAAGATTTTGGGGGTGGTGTCACCCCCGCTTAGGGGGCTGCGTCTGTTTCGTTTTCGATGCGCCACCCTATATACGCTGTACTTTCCACGCAATTATGCACCAATTAGATCATGTCCACGTTCGACAGACCGAGACCGCCTACCACCTATGGAAACCTTTTGCGCCATTTTTGGGCGTAGTTTCTAATCTAAAAAAATTGTCGAATCACCCTGTATGATTAGGTTTACCGATATAAGGAACGTGGATGCATAAGAAGTTGTGGGTTAATTTACTTGATCCAATCTTTTATGTTATCGTCCATCTGCATTCAAAAGGCTTGCGTAAACACTTTCGTCCTGTTTTTGATGGAGCTCAAATAAAATTTACCCCATTTCCATATTGACTACTTTCGAAAAAGTGAAATTGAAAAATTTCAAGTTTGAAAACCGGCCCACAAAGAAAGCAGAAGGAGTACATTAGGTTAAAGCTGGTCCCTTTAGAAGAAAGTTACCTATGGTAACATCAAAAGAAAAGACAGGTCACTACGTTTAAAAACAAAAGAATGAATTATTCATGGCTATCTACTTCTTAAACATAATGTAGGTTACCAAAAAATTTGCATCCTGAAAGAAAGCCATTATTCTTTAATAAAAAATAAAAAATAGGTTTTTGTATAGCACATCAAGGTCGTATAATGCCGAAACCCACTTCCGACTGCACAAAATAAAAGGGCTTTCTATCAGCTGTGGCAAACTTGAATGTCGTCCTTTCCCGTTCTGAAATATTCGTTCAAAGTGATGACCTTTGCTATCCATTCCACAATAGACAAGGTTGAAGCCTCGGATTCTTGGGAGCAATCCTTGGACTAATTTTTTTCTGGTAGATGTCCCGGCCGTGTTTTCTAGTGCGAAAGACATCATGGAGGCTCAACAAAGAGAAAGAGAAAAACGCGCCAACTACTAGTGTAGGCTATGTTGAAAATAAAAAAATAAACTTGTTTCTTGGTTAGATCGGTAGCTTCGCAGACCACCCTCGTAGGTGCAGGTTAGGAGGCGGTGTTGCCAAACACATAAAATGCTTGGAAAGTGCTACATCTTAAGGCCAGGCTGCCTAGATACCTGGCAACTGCGACGATTGGTCAAATAAGCAATTTGACGTTCGAAGAAACTTGAATTTCAAACAGACATTTCTCTTTTCGTGTAATATTATGCGTAGGGCCGTAACAGTTGAATAATTATGGGACAACTTACAGGGTCTGAGAAAAAGTTTTGTTTTCGTAAAATTATACTAAGTAACATATAAATCCGAACACCCAGTTTAAATGGTTTTATTTTAATAAAATTTTGTATAAGTACTTAATGAAGCAGAATAAGTAAATGACAAAAATTTCAAAATGATTGCACTGCTTTAAAGCCCTTTGACTTTTAATAATGTGTGGATGCACCCTGATGTGCTACGTATTCTCCAACGCGCCTAGGCATGCTTCTGATCAGGTGGCCAATGTCCTCCTGTGGCATCACATTCCAGGCAACCACCAACTCCTCTCGAAGTGCTTCTAGAGTCTGAGGAGGACGTTGCAAATTGAGCAATCTCCTACCCATCATATCCCACACGTGCTCAATTGGGGATAAGTCGGGAGATCTTGGTGGCCATGGTAACAATGTGACATCATTATGTTGAAAGAAGTCTATTGTGACTCTTGCAACATGTGGTCGGGCATTATCTTGTTGGAAAGTTGGATCTGCTAGGGTAAAAGATGGGGTTCTAGAACTTCGTGGATATAACGCTGCGCGTTCATGTTACCTCTGATGAAGATTAAAGGTGACCTGGAACCATAAGCTATAGCACCCCAAACCATAACTCCAACAGTGTGATGAACATGTCTTTCAACAAAAAACTGTGGATTCCTCCTTTCACCACGTCGTCTTCTAACCCTGGCACGACCATCGTGCATGCCTAAACAAAAGCGAGACTCGTCACTAAAGACAATACTGTTCCATTCCTGATCCCAGAGTGGCCGTTGTCTGCACCACTCAAGACGATTACGTCGGTGTTCTCGAGTTAAAGGGAGGACCCAGTGTGGCCGGTATGAAAACAAGCCAAAACTTCTCATTCGTCGGTAAACACTTCGCATGCCAATAGGTCTTCCGTGTTCTGCAAACCATTCATTTGCAATGGACCTGGTAGTGGAGAAACGGTCCCTTAAGGCCAATAATCTTAGGCGGCGATCTTCACGGTCTGTTGTTCCACGGCGGCGTCCAGTGCCCCTTGCTCTTTGCGTACGGCATTCTCGAAGCCATGCCTGACACCACCTAACCACAGTGTCTACACTTCTTTGCACTCTAACTGCAATTGCCCGAAAAGAAAGTCCAGCTTCCCGAAGTCCCACTATACGGCCGCTATCAAACTCACTAAGTTGACGAAATCGTACAGGTCTCCGTACTATAGGAATCGTAACCGATCGTAAAGGATGTCAAGAACCAAAATCCGCCAACGTTGATTCTTTACTGCGGCTGAAATATTCATTTTTAGAGCGTTAGTGAATTAAAAAAAAGCAGTATAAAAACCGGAATGTCCAACTGATAAGGCTGAAAATTTTTTCACTTGTTATTTACAGTAAGATAAATACATTCACCAACTTTTATTAAAATAAAACCATTTAAACTGGGTGTTCGGATTTATATGTCACTTAGTATATATATATATATCACAATTTTCACGAATCCACTTTTTTCGGTTCATTTACTCTTTTAATTACGTATACTTTCCTTTTGTTTCAGGAACATTGGAAAGACAATGACAACCAGCATCTCGACATCTGGAGGTCCTGTAGCAGATATATAAAGAAAATCGCCGCGCCACAACTTCAAGTTTCTCAGGCTTGTGTTTCTGAATATTTTCATCATAATCCACGAAATAAACGGTTTGGGCATATAAAAATTAGTTGGTTCTTGAAATTTTGCACGGATTTCCATAACAAGATTATAATACGTATATGGAAATATAACTGTCACTACGTTGATTGAAGAAGGTCTAAGGAAAAACAAGTTTCAAGTGCTGACAGACTTTTGGAGGCATAAATAAAATTCGCTGAAATCATTTTCTAAAAAAGCGTTACAATAATTTGTTGTTGCATACGATTTGCGGATTTTAATTTCTTTAGTTTGTTAGTTTGACCAAGTAAGTAAGTTGTTCCTACAATTGTAGGACACCTTTATGGCCTCCTTGATTTTCATCGTCATAGATATTTGTGATATAACCTCAAAATAGAACAGTAGAAAACTATGAAAATCAAGGAGGCCATACAGGCGCCCTACAATATTGTAGGAACAAATAAAGAAAAAAATATAGTGGCTGACAAAGAAAATAACATCCAGAGTTTCTTTTGATAAACAAATAAAGGATCAGGATCCACAGGCGGGTTTTTCGGACATGAAAATAACTCATTTCCAGTTGATCGTATCTATGAAATTATTAGTGTCGCGCTTATACTGCCGTAGCTACGTAAAAGACAGTCAAGTGTAAAAATCGAAGTAAGAGAAAACTGAGTTCAAAATTTTTGTTTAAAAAAAAAATAAAAAATGTCATTAAGATAGGACAAAAGCGAATGAATATTGCAAAATTATGTAACTTTATAGAGAGCCATTTGAATGTGATTTTAGATCAGGATTGTCGTTGATGTCTAAAATAAATAACATTCCGTCTTGCTGTAAATCAAAAAAAGGGTGAAAAGGCAGTATTTGTATCATACAGAGTAACCGCAGTTTTAAGACTACTGCTTTTTTGCTGTGATAAATTAATTGATTTACTGTTTTTATGCTTAGGAAATGTTGTTAGTATAAAATATTTGACAAAGTAAAAAACTAATTATTTTTGTTAAAAAACGTGATCAATGATATAGTTTGTAAATCTAATCATAAGGGAAATTTATAGTAGGCAGTACCTGAGTACGGCAGTATAGACCCCCATCCTTTTTCTCCTCTCGCATAGTCAAATCTACAACGTGCCTAATTTGGATGCAAAATCTCAGCCTCCAACTAATTTTTATCATTCTCGAAGGTTGTTAGTCGATCATTTTCTGGATTATAAAGCTTAGGATAAAATTCGAATCACTCTGTATGTGATTTTTAACTCCTCTCTATATGTAATATTGCTATATTGTTATCGCGTTTGGAAACAACGTACGTTTGTCAATACTCACACAGCTTTAAACGTATGTTCTTTTCGTCATAAAGATTTAAATTGTTAACTCGAGTTTGTTTCATTTATGTAGGTACGTGTAGTATATGAGCAATACGTTCCTCATATTTTTTCAAAAACAAAAGTGAGAAATGTGAGAAATATTTTTATTTACCCTTTTGGTGTAAAGTAAATGATAGGCCGCGCGTGGAGCTAATTTGGTATTAATGGGTTGTGTTGTAAGGCTAGGCAGATTCAAAACATGCCATTTAACGCGAAGGTACTTGCCGGTAAGTATTAGTAACTGACATTCGACTCTACCAGTTGATGTTCTCAAAACGTAAGTGGATTAGTTGAAGCAGAAAATGTTGAGGTGCTCATAGTTGAAACATTAAAATGGTCACAGATATGCTGAGCAGAAGCATACATTTACACTCATCTTTAAGAACTGTTTTTTTCAGACTGAACCCGCGGCTCTGCACTTACTAGTGTTGATGCAACAATAAATTAATTTCAATGTTACCCTTTTTTGTATCTTCGCCAGGTAAGGAGTTTACTTGTTTACTGATCACAAAATAACCTTGCCAAGAATAATATATACCGGGTGACTTCGAAGTCGAGCCATTTATTTTAACAGTGAGTAGATCCGATCAAAAGAAATGTTTTTTTCCTTTAACATTTTTCTGGTAAAATTAAAGTAACAAAGTTATAGCCCTGTAGAAGTTTGAGTACTGCCCTGTCTCAATAATAATATTATGTGCTCGTGTTTGGCAACAACGGATATAATCCGCCTTATCGGTTCATCACATCGGAAAGCGAAAGAATTTGAAACGCTTATCACGATGTTTTTACTACAATTTTATTCAGTTGTATTCAGTCAATGTGTCAGTCGGTAACGCGTGAGTGAATAGTGGTGTTTGTTGCGTGGCTCAAACGAAATAAAAAATGGCACATGTTTACAAAAATGCTGAACTTGTAGACATGATTCTTATTTACGGGGGGGGGGAGTCTTTACAAAATGCTGCCGCGGCATCACGGATTTATGCGGATCGGTTTCCCTATCGAGTGCAGCCAACCCCTCGTGCCTTTGTTAATATAGTACAAAGGGCTCGTGAATCAGGTGACTGAAGACCTCACAGGGGAAGGCATGCCGGTGCTCCAAGACCGCACGATGAAATACAGCTCCGCACTGAAATACTTGTCGGGAGGATACTTTATAAAACAAGGTAACATTTTTTTTATTTTTACACACAGATTTTGGTTTATCTTCCTTCTACAATCATTATCTGAAAATTAATGACTCAGCTTCAAAGTCACCCTGTATAATATAGTCAAGGTCATAGATATACTTGAACATAAAATCTTTTGCTTTTTTTATTTCTGATATAAAAATAGAAAACTACAAAAGAGCTTGAGTGTTATATTCAAGGTCACGTTCAGGGTCACCATTAGATGAATTTTTCCAAACCTCACAACTTTATTACAGAACATTTTTTATGAAACAAATGTTTCGTTCTTTCCTACTTTTTACATCCGCAGGTACACATGCGTATCTCAAAGACATACTTTAACGTAAAATTTTCCAGTGACAAAAACAGGGGTATCGTTGAAGAAAACTGCCTTGACCTTCAACGTTATTTGAAGGTCATAATCAAGGGCACGTTCAAGACCACGATTAGATGAATCTTTTCACAAAAATTTCACCACTTTCTGCAACATATTTTGATTTATACTCGTCGAACATGCCGTAAAAACATTATAATCTCGCGAAGAAACGAAATGCGTTTTTGAAATATCAACTGGTGGGATTCCATTTGCTTGCAGTTACTATATTCAAACCTGTATTAAATGTTCCTGCATTACAATACAATTTGTAGGCTGGACTACGAAGCCAACACTGAACAAGCCAAACTATAAGAATCCAAATGATCTACAGTGAAATTCATTTACATTTTTGGGCGCCACTCTCAATGCGTACGAGAGATAGATGCCTATAAGCATGCGACAGTGGGGGAAGGCGCAGAGCGCGGCTGTAATTTGCCGCGTTGCCAAATGTCAGACCAGTTTATTGAATTATGATACATGGTGGAAATTATGCTAATGATTCTATTTTGGGCGAATTGTGGTAAATCGGCCTAAAATCAGTTCCAGATCGGTCTTAATTGTTTTCTGATTTCAGGTGTAACTGAATGATCCGAATCACCACAAATTTTGTAGCATTGCGACATTGATTTGACAACACTGCATCTCTGTATACTCCATCGCAAGCTTTCCACGTCCATAGATTCATGATAGTCCAGTAATTAGGTGGACGATTCCTTATGGCGTTATATTATTATTTATATTGAGACTTTATGCCCTAATGCCAATAAATAATAAAAAATATAGCATTGTTCAGCATTGTTTTAGAAACAAATTTCACATTAGAAATAAAATCGTTTGGCTTGTTTGGTACTTGCTCAGTGTTGGGCTATATTATGCAATGGTGCGTGTATATGTTGTCACTCAAACATTAAGAATAGCAGTCGAATTAAACAAATTCTACGGTATTCTCAAGAAAGAGACGCAAGTATAAGAGTATCATACTGTAACCGGACTAAAACCACTGATCCACGTATTCTACCTGAAAATAGCCAACCTGATGCTATATTCGCGCGTGCAATAAAATATCCGAGATAAAATGACATACAGTAGCGTCATCTATGAGAATTTATCACAGCCGTTCTTCCATTTGCTATATACAGGATGAGTTTTTATTGCGGGCTCGGTCGCTAACTCCGATACTATGCAAGGTATCTAAAAAAGCTAAAAACAAAAGTTGTAGTCAACAGTCCTTACATTTTATTACAGATTTTGACATTTCCTCCCGAACGAAGCCATTCGATGTGACATACTATACGGTTTTATTTTCAAATTGTTGAGATATCGGACAATATATCGAAAAAAATACTCAAATTCGACGATTCGCACCTCCTCAACTGTTATAGAAGGAGTACCGGATTTTTTGTCTGGAAATTTTTATGTGAAATGTCAAACTGGCGACTTAAACCTGAACGACTTATAGTACGAACAGTCATCCTAAACACAGACTATTGAATTTTGGAGACAAACAAGTCACAGACTAGCTCATTCTACCAACTCAAAATTCGTTGAATTAAGAGTTATGGAAAAGACATATTTTTAATTTTGAAAATAGCGTTATTTTCGGAAAGTTCTTATAAGTTTTGTGACACCCTGTATACGCAAAATGACGCATTGTGGGATCAACTTTGTGAGGAAGCTAACTCGAACGAATCTAAATTGTTTGGTGTTATATTTTAATTTTGATGTAATAAAATAGGACCGTACCTGGATATTATCTGCAAGGCCGAATCGAATGTATCCAGTTACGGCCCTTGACAGAATGCCTTGCAATAATATTTTTTTTGAGAGAAGCAACATGATTTACACTTTTAGAAACGTGCTCAAAATTAGTTTTCTCTAGCAGGTTATCATTATGAGTATATAATCATGGGCATGCGCAGGGTGTAAGTCTAAAGGAGTCTTTCGGAAGGTTTTTATAATATACTTGATTGAAATTTAAAAGCCCACGATTCTCAGTTTTGGCACTTTTGTTCAAAATTCACCCCTTTGCGAATAATTAACTTCCTGTTTTTATATGAGCGCATGGTCGCAGCCTCAAAAAGCCGATAATCTCGGCAAGAATCTCGGCGAGAACTTCTTTGGGTCCGCACTGGAAATGTTCTTAATTCAGTTCTCGTGCTCCATGACGATGAACGCAGAATTAAATGTTAACGACACCAGCTTCTTGACTTCATTTTATACCCTCTTTAGCTGGCTAATAACGATTTTTTTATTTGCTTTTTAATTCTCCAATGGGTAATTCCATCAAGGTACTAATACGTTTCCAGGCCTTTAGTTTATTTTTATATTATTTTAAATTTGTATTTTACATAATCGGTTCTGCTTGAAAATATTCTAGGAACGCCAATTCTGGTTCGTTCGTCTAAATCCGGCTCATACTGATGCAAAACTGCCTTTTAGGCTTTTAAAGCCTGTCCACAGTCACACGAGAATATCGCGAGAAAAACATGGGAAATGTGAATGTGGAACCGATTTTCATAATCTTCGCAGGTTATCGGCTTGTTCTTCGCCATTTGTCGATTTTTTGGCGCGAGACAAAACAGCTGAGAACAAGCGAGAACTTGTATTGACTCCACACTCGCCGATTAGAACAGTTGTGCTTGGTATTTACTAATGAACATCAATATGAGACGGGTTTGGACGAACGAACTAGAACTGGCATTCCTAGAATATTTTCAAGCAAAACCGATTTTGTGGAATACAAATGTAAAAGAATATAAAAATAAACTAAAAGCCCACAATGCGTGGAAACGTTTTAGTACCTTGATGGAATTACCCTTTGAAGAATTAAAAAGCTAAAAAATCGTTGTTATTATTATTAAAATAAAGCCAAGAAATCGGAAAAATCTGGTGCTGGTGGCGACGAAATTTATCAGCCAACGCTTCGCATACGAATATATGAACTCCTTTCTTGGGGATACAACAAAATGTAAAAAAGTGAGGACCCTTTATTAGTCTCTAGCTTTCAATGGTCTTTGCCATCATCATCAGGAGCTGCAACAACATTAAGAAGAAGTAGCAACTATTGTGCAAAATGATTTTAAATTACTTTCAATAGTATGTGAGATTGTTGCTAAATGTTATTAAAGCTTCAGTTGAGGGAAACATTCAGTAACCTGTTGAAAGGTGGATACATGGTACAGCTGTATGTCACATCAAAACGGATTAAAAATCTTTGGAACGAAAGTTAAAATTATTACATGTTACATCGTGAAACAACCTGATGCTGCACAAAATGGTGTGGCATAGGATCAAAAATTGGATGAAACATTTGACAGATGATAGAGGGCTGGAGGTGTCAGCGTCGATGGATGGAACGAAAATTTGTAAAAATGTGTGTTATGTTGCCAAATCACTTCAGATGGTCTGATTTATCAAGATAACAAACCAGAGGCAGTTGAACAGACTATATTGTTAAATATATGGACAATTGCATTAAACAATTATTATTTTATTATTAGAAAAAACAATTATTCAAATTTGAATGGAATGGACTTTTGAAGGAAAAGGGTGAAATAGACCAAATAACCAGATTCCATTTATGGTTGTGAAAAATCAAAATTTGGAGAAAGTAGTGCTCCAATTTGTTATTCATGAAAACGTCGGACATTTCCAGCAATAAAGAGAAACACCTATCCAAACGTTT